GGGGGGGCAAAAAAGAAAAGAAAATTTCTGGCCAACTTTATTAAATGTTATATCAAATTGAGGATGTTCTTCTTCTTATATCCATAGTTAAGCCTGTGTGACCTTTTATCGCTAAAAACATTAATTGAAAACAATTTATGTTTTGCAGTACAAAGAAAATTCTGCCCTTGCATGCATATGACTTTGTTTCTCTCTACATCAGAACAGAGAAGAATAATCAGTAGAAATTTTGGGATATTAATGTAAAAAGTCATGTGTGATTATTAGGGATAGGTTGGGTTGGTTCGGATTATTTAATTACTAAACCAAATAAATAGTGTCGAATTTTTAAATCTACAAACCAAACCAAACCAACGAAGTCGGGTTTTTCAATCTCGATTTTTTTTGAATTTTTTTATTTTCGAGTTTTCAAAATTTTTTGAGCAAGAATATGTTTTGACATTCTCTTGAGATGGATGTGATATATAACTAATTCTGTACTTTAAGACAAAATTTCAACGTAGAAGTTTTTTAATCTCCGATTTTCATGGCTTCATGTGGAAGAGAAATGAGTGCTGTTATGGCGGAAGAATTCAATATATGAAATACAATCCCAAAACAAAGAAAGAACACAACAGCATGTAAACCGGATCCGATTGTCTGAAGTTTGCAATGAGAGAGAACAACTTCAGACGCAATTATATGAAGTTTGCACTTTAAAGTTTACACTACCCGAAATTTATAACTTCATATGCAAATTTCAGAACTTCACTTGTCTGAAATATTCCAAAGCGAATAAATTTATAAATTTTTGTGCAATACATATATGACTTTAATGGTGCCCCTTTTGTGCGTTGGCATTTAAATTTGCAAGAATTTATGCCGGGTGTGTTTACCCGTAAAACGGTACAGTTGAATTTATACGTGGTTTATAGACAAGTGGATCGATTTGATCATAAAATAATAAATAAATTAGACAAAAATGTAAGACTTAGCGTTGGATACGGTAGTAGAGATCTTGAGCCCGGGAGCAGAGCTTCCGGAGACAGTAAGAGCAATATAAATACACAAAAAAAGTAAAATGCTATTGAGCTTTGAACAAAGTATAGTGTATGCTTGTCAGAAAATTCGTCCTCTTTAAAATGATGGTAGACTAACTATTTATAATTGCTCCTAGGGAACAGGGGTCTAGGATCAAACCCCTCTTAAATGACAATTATGAGGGCCATTGAAGAATGTATAACCGTATGCAGTAATGCCATATTCTCTGTAACAGACCGTGCACTTAATGCTATAGAATATTCTTCATTAAATATCACCGGGTGGCAGACATTTATTTCGCCTTTATGAATATCATTCTATCCGATAACAAGTGAAATCATTGCCTTCGGACCCGAGTGTCTTATGTCCTCAACTCCACATGTCGCTTTCTCATGCAATCATTAAATATGAACATATTTTACTCTATATAGGTTGTCCCCCTGCTTTCCGGTGGCATAATTTTGTGTCACCAAGAAGTTGGTAGAGATACCTTTCTTGGCGAAAAATACTCTGACCCCCTCTGAAAAGTTTCTGACGGTTGATTAGACGCACGTCTCTCCACATTTAATGCCCCGAACATGCGTCATCCCACAATACATTACTACTTTTGCTGGTTATCGAGGTAATTATGGCCACGATTTTAGCCACCTATTCCTTTTACTTATACGCATCAAACTTCTTCATTTACACTTCATAATTTTCCAAAATTTCTCAAACTCTCTCAACTCGTATTCGTCTTCAACTTTCTCTAACCTTCTTATTCAGAGAAAACCTTTTCCTCCCTTCTGATAAAAATGGCTTTTTCTTCCAAAAATCCTAGTTTCTCAAAGAACAAAGGTAAAGCTGATGATGCTACTCCTCATATGGTGAGCACCATCATTTCAAGGAGCCTTGTCACAACTAAGGACTTCGAAGAGACGTACCCTTCCGCTAATCCCCGTACGTAGGCTATTGGCGTGTATCCTTCTTCTATACGTCCTTCCAGCATTCCTATTGTGAAGGAAGGCTACCATTGCCATGACTTAATCATCATCGCTCCTGGCCTAACAGAGCGGATAATC